AGATGAGGAAGCTGAGACAGAATATCCACCGCTCTTTCTCGAAGTTTTGCCATGAAAGGATGGAGGGAGACTGGTAGCATGGGCACATGGTCAGAAGAGTTTGAATTAGTTAGTTTGTTGTTGTTGTTGTTCAGTCATTAAATTGTGTCTGACTCTTTGTGACCCCCTGGACTGCAGCACGCCAGGCCTCCCTGTCCCTCACCATCTCCTGAAGTTTGCCCAAGTTCATATCCATTGAATCGGTGATGCCATCCAACCATCTCATCCTCTGTTACCCTCTTCTCCTTCTGCCTTCAGTCTTTCCCAGCGTCAGGGTCTTTTCCAGTGAGTTTGCTCTTCACATCTGATGACCAAAATACTGGAGCTTCAGCTTCAGCATCAGTCCTTCCAGTGAATATTCAGGGTTGAGTTCCCTTAGAATTGACTGGTTTAATGTCCTTGCTGTCCAAGGGACTCTCAAGAGTCTCCTCTAGCACCACAATTTGAAAGCAACAATTATTCAGTGTTCAGCTTTCTTTATAGTCCAACTCTCACATCCGTACATGACTACTGGAAGGACCATAGCTTTGACTATACAGACCTTTGTCAACAAAGTGATGTCTTTGCTTTTTAATACACTGTCTAGGTTTTTCATAGCCTTCCTTTGAGGAAGCAAGAATCTTCTAATCTCATGACTACAGTCACCACCTGCAGTAATTTTGGAGCCCAAGAACAGAAAATAGGTCATTGCTTCTACTCCTCTCCACCCCCTCATTTGCCATGAAGTGATGGGACCATATGCCATGATCTTAGTTTTTTGAATGTTGAGTTTTAAGCCAGCTTTTCCCCTCTCCTCCTTCACCCTCATCAAGTGGCTCTTCAGTTTGCCTTCGCTTTCTGGTATTAGAGTTAGTTTTCACATAGAAGAGACCTGAGCTTACTGCATGCTTAGTGGGAAACAGATAGGAGTGGGCTGCATAGCGTGATGGAGAGACCAGATTTAATGGATCTGAGGTGAGGTGAGAAAGTAAGAAGTGCAAGGAGTTCCTATCTGATAAGCTTGATTTTGTCTGTGAAGTGAGAGAAAAGAAGAGATGTCTACTTAGATAAGGCTGAAAAGGGATAGAGTTCATGGAGAGTGAAGATTTGCAATAGCCACTGAGCAAGTGTGAGGGCTTACCTAAGGCTCAAGTCCATGCATTTGTAGGGGAGCCAGTCTGTGTGTGTGTGTGTGTGTGTGTGTGTGTGTGTGTGTGTTCTAGCAGCACTTTGAGTTCATAAAGTGTAAGAGTGTCAGATTTGATTAATCTTTGATTGGATTTTGCCTTATGGATGAGACAAAAGACAATGGAAGAAGAGGTTACAGCATCCTGGCAAGAGAGACTGAAGAGATCAGTGGAATTCTAATAAAGAGGGAAATATAACATGTGAATGAAGAAAGCCTTTTAAACTAAAACTCAAAACCCAGAAGCAATAAGGGAAAAGATTAATAAATTGACTGCATTAGAATTCTATTGATAAAAGGGGAAAAAAGAAAGCAAGAAAACACCACAAGCCAAGTGAATAAATAAACTCAGAAATTTATTTGTAATCGCATCTCAAATGGTTTGTATATATAATATATCAAGAGCTTCAAAAGAGAGAGAGAGAAGATTGTTAGTTAATGCTGTGGTGGTGATCATATTGCCATGTATGTGTATGAAATCAATGTTGTACACCTTAAACTTACACAGTGTTATATATCATTTATAGTCAATTATATCTTAATAAAGCTGGGACAAATAGAAGAAAAAGACCAGTAATCCTTTGGGAAAATGGGCAAGAGATATGTACAAAATTCACAGAAAAAGAACTGCAAATGGCCTTTCCATATATAACGATGTTCAATTCAAAGCATAGTAAAAGGAATACAAATTAAAACCACACTAAGATACTTTCTGTCAGACTGGCAAAATTGAAATGTTCAACAGTATACTCTGTTGGGGAGGCTATGGGGAATATGATACTGTCATACGTCCTGGTGGAGGGGAGTTTGGCTATGGATCAAAACTGTGTATGTGCATTTTCCCTTTGATCCAGCAAACCCAACTCTAGGAATCTATTCCAAAGATACAGTGGCAAATAAAAAAAGATGGATACATGGTTGTTCATTGTTAATGACTGTTAGTGGTAACTACTCTTAAGAAAGACCAGAAATAACCCAGGGAACCGCTGGACTAATATATGTACATAATCATAATGAGATATTATCAAGTATATAACTCTATCTACTGCTGTGCATTGATCACCAGAGTATATTGAATATCAGTGAAAAAAATAAAAAAGTAAAACAGTGTATATGTTACATTTTACTAAATATAGAAGGGCATAGGAATTCACACACATATGTATTTGCTTATCTCAAAAAAACATGGAGGAAAATTTAAAAACTAATAAAAATGAATGCTAAATGGGACTAAAAGTAACAGGAGTCAGACACAAATAAAAGTTTGATTTCTCTGAATATATCTTGTTTTGTGAATTTAATTCTGGAATTCTATAGTTTTATGTCATCATAAAACAAAATTAAATTAAAATGAGGAATAAGCAAATTTTAAGACACAAAATGTAACATATGAACCCAACTATGTATTGTTGATGAAGTGAACTCAGCAGGATTATTTCAAAATAATTTTGCAAAAGCAAAATAATTTATCTGTACTTCTCTAGTGTGATATACCCTAAGGCAAAGAGAACTATAAAGAAACTTTAAATCATTTTTAGTAATGATAGTGTTAGTAATGATAGTGTTAGTAATAATACTGGTGGTATTATCTTGAATCTGCCCTCTGCATTTTGTGTGTGTATCTATATGTGTGGATATTAACATAATTATGTTAATATCACTATAAACAAGGAAACCAGCTTAAGAGAAAAGAGATATAAAATCTAATGGTTTCAACATATCTTTTCATTTGTGTATCCCTGTACATTCTATTAGGGGAATCATTTTTTATTCAGGTTACCAGCAGAATGGTTTTTGTTCTATTTACAGAGCAATATTTTCATAATATTATAAGGTGAAAAAAGTAGTTTACAGAGCAATCTAAAAAATAATATGGGAAAAGGAAGATCAGTACGGAAATATACCCAAGGTTAATGGTCTCTGTGTTGCAGGATTATGAGTATTTTTACTTGTATGTGTGTGTGCATGCCTATTTGTATCTTTCCCCCAAAAGTAACACATATTACAAGCAACACCAAAAATATAGGTGTTTTTTTTTTTTTAGTAACAATTAACATAATGAACTTTCTAATCAGCTGGAAAGATGGGGGAAGGAACAAGACAAAGAAAATAATGTATTGAGATCATTTGGCTAGATCTTAGGAGATTTTGCTAGCATATACCATCCAATATCCTGGGAAGCAGATAAAATCCTATCCATGCCTGACTGAGAAACTGCTAAATTTTTATAAGCTCAAGCCTGACACAGAGGTGCTTGCCCCAGGCTTATCCAGGGACCTTGTGGACTCTGGCCAGGGTCCTCGGGGCCTCTGGTAAAACATCAGATGTATCGATTCACTTAGACTGTGTGGACCAGGTATGAGAAACATGACTGACTCTTGCACTCAGAAGGGGAGTGAGCTGAGAAGAAAGCCAGTGTGCAGGAATGGCCCTCCCAAGCTGTGTTGACAGCTTCTTCCTGGCTGCAAAGGCTGGGGAGGGAGCAGCACTGAAACCTTTCTGCCTCTTTCAAGTTCGCTTCAAAATCTCCAATAATGTTAGACCTCCAAGTGATTACTGCTGTGATTCCCCCTGGGCCTGGTGATTGTAATGATGTTAGTGATGATGGGAATGAGAAATGGATGCTGAGGTTAGTGTTCGCCGGGAGGGGTGAGTTCTAACTTCTGGGCCAGGAGAGCCCTTTCCTCCAGTCTTCAGTTTTTCAGTGGGATGATTCAGGCTGTTACAAACAGACAGCCACTGAGGCCGAGGCCTGTACACCTTCATTCTCAGCCAGGAAGACCCTGAGCAGAGGTCCAAACACAGGAAGTGATCAGGTGCTGGCCTGATCTCCAGGGCTGCCTTTTCAAGGTCTCAAAACCAGGGTGCTAGGTTCTAGTGTGGTTGTGTTGTCCAAGCATCTCTGAAGAGCTTGGTTCCTCTTGTTGCTCTCACTCTGCTCACTTCCTTCTGCACCCCTCTGATGCCATCCCTACCTCCCAGCCTCCCCCCTGCCCTGCCCACTCCCTGGCTTCCCAAGAAGTTCCCGTTTCTCTCCCAAGCTCAGCATCACTTCATGCTTCCCCCTCTGCCCTTTTCCCTCCCATCTTTCCTCCAGACCATCATTTGCCCTCCCTGTAAGCTCCATGTCCCTCCCCACCTCCCCGGGAGCTTAGTGTTCCCTCTGTCCTCCTCTCTGCCAGCAGAGTGCTCAGCCTTCTGCTCCTCTGTAGCCTCCGCTCAGCCTGCCTGCCTCTCAGCTGCAGGATACTACAATTCTTCCCTTCGGTCAAACCTCCAGCTCCTATGGCTGTTCACCTGCTTTGCCCTCTCACCGTGGAGTCTCCTTTCTCCACACTCTGGGTGGTCCACCTCCCAGAATTCTCTCCCAAATTCTGTCTCTCTGCACTGGCTGTATTCGAGGGTGTTTTTTTGCTCACTGGACAGCATCTCATCTCTGAGTTTCCAGCTTGTAGGAACAGCGAGGATAGCTGTGCTTGTGGGATGGATGCAAGCATGGATAACCTGCCAGAGAACATCCAGCTCGGGGATGTTGATCCCTGCCGAGTGCATCCTGTCTCTCCACTCCGGCAGCTGGCCACGTCTGGACTGGCCAGGCCCGCTCCTCCAAACCCAGGCTCCGATGAACAAGGCCTATCAGATCCCATGTAGGAACTACCCAATGAGTAGGCTGGGGTCGCCAGGGGGTGCTGGAACATAGTGGCTGGCTTCCAGCAGATCCACAGTCAAGACAGATGCCAGCCAGCACTGCAGCCTAGTACACTCTGGGACCCTCAACAGCCCTGTCATATTCCAGGTTCTCCAAGCCAGCACCCATGTTCCTGGATGCCTCCTTCCGCAAGTGGGCTAGGATCCGGGAATTTGTGCCGCCTTTTGGGATCAAAGGTCAAGGTATGTGGGGGACCCTGCCCTACTCTATATGAACATCTTATCTCCCAGGTTACCTCCCTAGGCTTCAGGGCAGGGCTGTACCTTCAGAAGTCTCTCTGCTGGGGAACTCCCCCCAACAATGTCCCACCTCCTCTCCCTCTTTCCTTTCTTTTTTCCTACTTTAGTGGACTGTTTACTTAGAGCTTTCCACTTTGCTGGGGGCTAGGTACATAGCAGTAGAGTAGACAGTTGTGGTCCTCCCCCTCACAAAGCTCCAGTCTGATGCAGACACAGGTACTTTGGGGGCAGGACAGGACAGTAAGGCCTCTGATGAGAGAAGAACACAGTGCTGTGAGACCACCCTAAAGGGGTGCCTGAGACATCCGCGCTAGAGGACTCGGTATGACATCTTAGAGGACTGGGGGACATCCCAGGGGAAATAGAGGCTGTGCCCCATGACTGCCCCCAGACCCCTCCGTCAACCCCTCCTGATGTTTTTCACCTCATGGAGGCTTCCCTCCAGTCCTTCCTTATCCTGTCCAAGGCCAGCCTTTCCCTCCCATACTCTCAGAACTGTCCCCTTCCATTGCCTCAGGAACCTCACCATGCAGCTCGTGACAAAAGACTTTCGCATCACTGAGAGTTTAACGGTTCTGTTTACATATCAGATTTTCTAAAAAAAAAAACCCAGATTTTCTGCTCCTATTTCAGGGCATGGTAGATTTTTGGCTTTACATCATACATAGAAGGATCAGATCCCAGGTCTACCTCTCTACTAGCTGTGACCATGGACAAATTGCTCACATGTGTTGCTTTAGTTTTTTCATCAGTTACATGGAGAAAATAAGACCACTGTATTAGGCTGTGGTCATAATTAAATAAGATGACTGTTAAAGGGTGATATCATTTAGCGAGTAGACTCCAGAATGCCCAAACCCTCTACTCAGCCAGCCCACCCCTCCCTGAAGACAGTGGCCAAGAAAAGGATAATCTTGAACTGGAGCCTTGACCTTCAAAACCTGCAAGGTTGGGTTGAACCACATAAACGCCTTTCTCATGGGTGCAGGGAGCCAAGCAGCCTACCTTTTCTCGTAAACCCTCACTCGAGATTCTGATCTTGGCAGGAAGGCTAATACAGAGCCCATCATCCAGCAAGAAAAAGTACCCCATAGTTTTTGACCATTCTGCTAAGGTTTCCCTCCTAGAAAACAAAAACCCAGTCCATAGCCTTGGCCTTGGTTGGTTAGCAGCAGTATGCTTTTCCCTACAGGTAGGAAAAGGAGGGGATCTGTGACCTTCCCCAAAGCCCACTGTAAAGTGTGTCTGAAGTCACTTAGTATAGAATGTTCCTTAAAGGAATGTCACCCTGACCCTCTCTCATTTGACTTCTAGAAAGATTGCCCATGCCAATTGTCTCCTCTTCCTCACCATTTACTCCTGAAGAATGTCTTCCCCCCACCCCCGTCACCACCACTTCAGTGAAACTGCTCAGAGCACCCATGAGAGCCCAAGGATACTTTTCAGTCCTTAACTTGACCTCTTGGCTGCATCTGACAGTATTTTCCACTCCACCTTTTAAAAAATTATGAGGTTAGAGGGTAGGACAAATTGAGAGAGTAGGATGGAAACATATGCATTACCATATGTGAAATAGACAGTCAGTGGGAATTTGCTGTATGTCAGCAGGGAGCTCAATCTGATGCTCTGTGACAACCTAGAAGGGTGGGATGAAGTGGGAGGCAGGAGGGAGGTTCAACAGGAAATGGACATATGTATGCCTCTGGCTGATTCATGGTGACGTGTGGCAGAAACCAGCACAATGTTGTGAAACAATTATCCTCCAATTAAAAATAAATTAAAAAAATTTTTTAAAAGGAAAAAAAATTGAAAGATTGTTGTGTTTAATTTTGGAGGCATCCTTTCTTTACATGAAGTATTTCAGTCTTATAAGAAAGCATAAAGACTGATATAATGAGCACCCATGTACTCTCTAGTCAGTTCAGAAATCACACATGAGATACAGTTCAAGCTCCATGTAACCTTTCCTACCCCATCCCCTGCCTTCCCCAGGAGACCGGTATCCTGGTTTTTGTGTTACGGCTTCATGCCTGTTTATATATTTCTATAGTCTATTTAAATATCCATTAAAAATATTGCATGGTTTTTGCATGCTTTTGAACTTTATAAACAGTATTGCATAAGTGTGTGTCTTTCAAATTGATTTTTTTGCTTATACTCTTGAGATTTATCTGTATTGGTACAGGTTACTCTAGGTCATTGATTTTGTAACTGCTGTATAGTATTCCATATACCACATTTAATCTGTTTTCCTTTGGTGGACTTGTAGGTTGCCTCCCACATTTTGCCATTACAAACAGTTCTGCGATGAATGTTCTTGTACATGTTTTCTTAAACAAATGTGTGACTTTTCTGATACTGTCCACCTAGGAGGAGAGTTGCAAGGTGTTCGTCTGTGCACAGCTACATCTTTATTTGATACAAAGGTGTTTCCCACTGTGGTCGTACCAGCTTACTTATCTTTAGGTCTTTATGTACATTATCTTTTTATCTTCCTAACAGTTCTGCACTGTAGGAATTACCATCTTCATTTGAAAAATGAGGAAACTAAACCTCAAAGACAGCTAAGTGATTTATCTGAGGTCACAGAACTCATAAGCAACAGAGCCAGGATTTGAGTCCAAAGCTGATAGTATCATCTGTTATACTATAATGGTCTTGTTATACCAAAATTTGAAAGAAGAGCAGTCATCATTGCCAGAGCCAGAGAGATGCCAAGAAGAACGAGGTCTGAATATGGTCATTGGATCTGAGAGCAGAGACGTCACAGAGCCCTTGCTACAGGCAGCCTGAGTGGAGAGCAGGTGGGCAGGTGCCAGGTCACAGGGCTTGATGATGTAAGGTGGTAGAGACAGCCTGGCAAGAACAGGATTAGGGATCGGCAGTGTTAGAGGGAGGAAGTGAGGGGAAGGCGGTCTCAGAAAATGAGGCCAAGTGGCCTGAGCTGGGGACCTGGCTGGGACCACTCAAGCTCTTCCCCGTTGGTGTCCCCTCCTTTGCTTCCTGGTGTCTGCTTGGTGGGGACGCAGAGTCATCGTGTGGTCTCTGTCTTTAACTGGCACTCCCGTTCTTGGGGAGACTGATGCCCCAGCTCCCAGGCAAGGTCCACACCTAAGGGTGCATGTCGCTGGGGCCTGACTTCAGAGTTTCCAACAGCCAGTTGAGACTGCTAAGAAAGGGCCAGGGAAGCCCGAGGAAGGAGCTGCATGCGGGTGCCGTCAGGCTTCAGGCAGAGGCATGTGCACACGCCTGTTCTCCCACCTCCATCTCCTTTCTCAAGGAGAAAGTTAGGCCAGTGGCCCAGCCTTGTGTGTGGAGCTCCCTCCCCCATCTTAGCCCCGGGAGCACAGGCCTTCAGCTCATCAGCAAACATCTTCTGGGAACCCTTAAGTGACCTCTAACAGTTGCCTCCCTCCCCTGTCCACAGACAATCTGATCAAAGCCATCCTGTCCGTCACCAAAGAGTACCGCCTGACCCCTGCCTTGGACAGGTAAGCCATTCCCCAGCTTCCTGCCCCTTGGCTGCCTGGCACGTGCAGAGGTGCTGAGACCCAGCTGGCCTTTCCCTTGTCTGGGCAGATTCTGCAGCACACCCACACATCCACACACACACTGGGGCAGATGAGCAGGTGAGCAGGGCCACCGCCCTGAGCTAGCCACCCCGTTGAGCTATAAACACGTGGCGAGTCAGTCCTCAGGCAGCAGAGGTCTGAGAGTCAGAACAGAATGTACTGGGTTGGGATCAACTTAGCACGGGGACTGAGGGGGTGGGTGGTGGGGTGACTGAGAGGGCTTAATCCAGGAGGCAGAGACCGCTCAGAAGCCATTAGATCCTGGATGGATGAAGCCCCAGGGTCAGAGGTGGGAGAAGCAACAGGAGTAGGGCTCTCAGGTGGCTGCTGGGTGCATGGGGGCTTCTGAGTTAGAAAGGAGTCCAGCCTTGAGTCCTGGCGCCCCCAGGCTCATTCCTTTGTCCTTGCTTCCCTAGATAGCCCTCAAGCTCAGCCCACTTTTCCCTCTCCCTGGAAAGCTGCCCCCAAACCCACCAACCCTTGTGGAGTCTTTAACCCAGAATGCCATCTTACCAGAACCTCCTTCCTCACCACCCCAGAGTCAGTGCCCAAGCACCTTTCACGCCCACGTTTCCCTGGAGAAGAGTCAGGGGGGATCTGAGAGCCCAAGTTGCCCAGCTCTCCGCAGTGTGTCTCAGAAATGCTGCTAGAGGCTCACTGGTCTTCCTCCTCCATCCCAGCCTGTGTCTGGCCAAGGGCATGGGGTCAGGGGCCAAAGCAACAGGGGGAGAGACCTGGTGGCCAGCTCTCCACAGAGGTCTCCGCCTCTGTCCCCTCAGCCTCAGCTGCCGTCGCTGCATCATCGTGGGCAACGGAGGTGTCCTGGCCAACAAGTCTCTGGGGTCGCGAATTGATGACTATGACATTGTGGTCAGGTGAGCTCCTCAAAGCAATGCCTCAGGTACCTTCGTGTCCTGGCCCAACCCCCTGGTCCCTGAACACATTACTAACTGTCTGTCCATCTGGGCCATTGGACTGGAAGTCAGTGGAAGCCTCAAGGAGAAGCCAGGTTGGAAGGCTTTGGGACAGAAAGCTAGGAGGCTACACGTGGCCTGGGCTCCCCATCTGCTGCCTCTGGGGTCTTCTGGGGCCATGGTGTCTCCCCAAACACAGGGCTGCAGACTGCACGCAGTGAGCCCAGGACAGGCTGTCTGACTGGGTCTGCTCTCTATAGACTGAACTCAGCACCAGTGAAAGGCTTTGAGAAGGACGTGGGCAGCAAAACCACACTGCGCATCACCTACCCCGAGGGCGCCATGCAGCGGCCTGAGCAGTACGAACGCGATTCCCTCTTTGTCCTCGCTGGCTTCAAGTGGCAGGACTTCAAGTGGTTGAAATACATCGTCTACAAGGAGAGAGTGGTGAGCTCCCTGCGCCCCGGCTCCTCCCCTTCTTGCTCAGGCCCTGCCCAGCTTCCACGTCAGCCCCTTCCCCTGACCCGGGCAAAGAACAATAGGAACCTTTCAAGAGAAGCAGTAAGGACCAGATGCAGTCAAGGGGCAGAGGGGCCAGGAGATGCCAAGGTCATGGCCCAGACTCCTGGAGCTGATGTGCCTGCCATCTGCTGCCTGCCTTCAGAGACCCAGACTCTGGTCCTTCCTCAGCCTTCTCTAAGCCAGACCCCGGGCGCCTGGCTAGCCCCAGCCTTACTGCTGATCTCCACAACTCCCTGCCTTAACTTTATACTTGTCCCGCCTCCCGCCGACCCCCCCCCCAGTGCCTCCCCCACTCTGATTCTGGTCATGTGGGGCTCCCCTCGTTCCCAGCCAGGTGACCCTGTGGCCGTTGCACAGGGTCTGCAGACCCCTCACCTTGAGGGTGCCAGTTCCCAAACTCTAAATCCCGGCCTCTCTCCACGTTGTGCTTTTACCCAGTGCTGGATCCCGACCTGCCACTGAGTCTGTCTCCACTCTGGGAATGGTCAGGTTCTGTACTCACTGTTCTTGGCAGGCAAGGGTCTGGGCCCCTTTCTTTAGAGAGCTTCTATGGCCAAGTAGGGTCAGACTGCTCCTCTGTGGACCACCCACTGAGTCCCCTCCTGAGCCTTCTGTCTCTCAACTCTGGGCCAACTTGTCCAGGCTTATTTCCACCTCTCCCCCTAACCAGCTGTCACCAGCCACCCCAGGAGAAGGGCACTGCAGAGTTCAGGCCATTCATCTTCCAATACCCAAGCCTCTTAGCATAGGAGAATGATGACAGAAGCCCTCTGCCTACAGTAAGAAGCTAGCTGTTTTTTCTGGAGGTTCAAAGGAGAGCTGGGGGGCGGCTGGAACAGCTTCTGCTGCCTATGGAGGTCTCAGTGCAATTTGGTTTAACTCCACAGCCTTTTCCCAAGCAAGGCCAAAGGCAGGCAGAGTCAAGTAGGTAGCAATCGAGAGCGAAGACAGAAGTCAGGTCCAGAAATTCAGGTAGGTGGGACAGAGGGGAAGGGAAGCCCATCTAGAGCCAGGCTGAATGTGGCAGCCCAGTCCTCCCGGGCGGGTCTGGCTCCCCAGAGGGGAGAAAGGGGCTTGGCTTCAGTTGATCTGAACAGCAAGCAGGCCCACTGCCCACGCACAGCAGGCAGAGTGTGGGGACTGAGCGAGCAGCCCGCTCTTTGCAAGACCCTAGTTCTCAGAGCCCTTCTCTTTGCCTTGAAGGCAAGAGAATTGGAATTATAATTCCAATCCCTTAGGCACTTCTAAAGGAGAAATGGGAGGAAATTGGGTCTGCCCTGGTGAACCCCAGAGAGCCTGTGCGCTGCTTTGTCACCGTGCCTTACGCCCATCTGCCCACCCGCTCCTGGAGGGCAGGGCCCTGATCCCCTTTGCTTGTCTTACCTGTCTGGGCCCAGCCACCACAAATGACCTGGTCTTGGCTCAGACACCAGATCCTGCTTCCTGCTGGGCAGATTGGGATAGGACAGGCAGCCCAAATCAGGAAGCGAGGCCCAGGTGGGCCCGGGCCAGCCAGGTGCGTGTTGTCACATGATCCTCCCAAGAACACCAGGTTCAATTAATTCAGGCAGGACTCAAACAAATCACCAGAAGGGGTAAGGAAAGAGAGAAGAAAGGAAGCCATCTAGGCTTGGAAGGCTCGGTACACTCAGGCCACTCGGGAAGCAGACAGCAGGGCCTCACTGTTCCCCAAAGACTCGGGAGCTCACTGCCTGGCCTGGCCTTGGTGGCAGGCCTGTGCTGGGACCTAACTGGAGCAGCTGGGGTGAAGAGATGTGGGCCGTGCTCATGCACAAGGCTCACTGTGCTGATGTCTGTGTCCTGTCCTGGCCTTGCCCAGGGCTCCAGGACCAGCCCTGTGGTCCTTGCTGAGGACCCCCTCCCAGAGTTGGGGGATGTGAGTGGAAAGGGGAGAGGGGAGCCGGGAGAGAGTCCTCTGAAGTTCATGAGGCTCCTGGCACCAAAGTCAAAGATAGATGGGGCCTTTAGAGTGAGTGGCCAGAGGAAAGCCAGTGATACCCAAGGCCTCACCTCTCCCAGCACCCAGAATGGGCCCGCCCAGGCCCTGCTGGTTACCCTGGAAGCTTCTTTGGTGCCTCCTCTACCCGAGGCCCAGGGCTCATGCCTTCGCAGGACCTCTCCCATGCCCTGTTTCAGACTCTTCTGGCAGTAGTGTGTGTGGATGGTGCTCAGTCATATCTGACTCTTTGCAACCCTATGGACTGTAGCCCACCAGGCTCCTCTGTCCATGGAGTTTTCTAGGCAAGAATACTGGAGTCAGTTGTCGTTTCCTACTCCAGGGGATCTTCCCGACCCAGGGATTGAACCCCCATCTCTTGAGTCTCCTGAACTGGCAGTCAGACTCTTTACCACTGTGCCACTGGGACTTCCCTCCTCTGGCAGCTGAGACCTGGTAATGTGGGAAGGTGGCTTCTCGGGCCCGCCCCGTCTGGTGTCTGGCCGCGGGCTTGACCTGCTCCTGGAGTGACATTTCTAACCGTGCAGTCCCTGGGCTACTGGAGTGCTTGCTGCGCCTGTCTGGAGCCTCACGTGCAGAATTCTGGCAGGAGGCAGCTCTGTGTCCCGGAGCCAAGGCCTGGCTGGGCAAGGCTGGAACAGGTCTTAGGCTTCAGCTGTGGCTCAGTGCCTTTGTAGCCTCCTGATTCCCAGGAGTCCTGATGGGGTATGAGACGGGGGAAAATGTAAGAAAGGAAGACTGAACAACCCAAAACCTAGCCTGTGTTAGAGCTAGCCATGCCTTCTCCATCCACACGGGAGCGCTCCTCTTCACTATTTGTGGCTATTTGATTTCCTGATTCACCGGGTGGTAGCGCAGATAACTCCAAACAAGTTACCTTTCGAGGCCCTCTATCTCTCAGATCTCGGGAGACCAAGCCATCAAGCAGGTAGAAGAGCTCCCAGCGGGCCCTGTGTGCTGAGTGCAGCTCAGAGGAGCACCTGTGGGCTGCTGAGTGGGGAATCTGAGGTCAGGAGGGAGGGAGGAACTGGGGACACAGAGGCACAGGTGTATGTAGGTCCATGGAGGGAGGGGCAGCCACCAACTCTCGTGGAATTCTTCTCAGAGGTACATCTGGCTCCGTCTATCCACGCAGTCACTCATTATTCAGGCGTCTTTGGATGTTTTTGGTGCTGTCACTGAGCTAGAAATGCGAAGTCGCTCGGTCTAATGGGACAGACTGTCCCCAAACTAGAGTCCTAGCAGTGTGGCAGGTGCTGTGCCCTGAGCTTCCTCCTCCTGGTGTTTGATGGAAGGCTGGAGATGCCCTGTCCATTGTCCTGAGGATGGAGCCCTGGGACCTGGACTGGACGGGACATGTGAGCTTCCTGTGCTGTGTACCCTGCCTCTGCCAGCCTCCCCACCATGCCCCAGGATACTGGTCACCCAGCACTCCCAAGGCCCCGGGAGCCAGTCCCCTTGGTGGCCTCCTCCTCTCCATTCTTACTTGGGCAACCCGAAAAGCTGGCCTCACCACTGAGCGGCTCTGACTGGTCATCCACTCAAGAGGCTCTGAGACCTGGGCTGAGTTGGTGGGTGTGGGTCCCACCCAGCAGGGGGAGAGGAGAGAACACTGGCTAGGGGTTAGCCCCTGAACAGCCTTGACACAGGCCTGACCTTCCAGCTATTGTTTAGTCCTTGGGGGAGGAAGGAGGGATCGGAGAGGCCGGCCAGGGCCCCTTGTTCATGCACGGGGTCACTGGACCCTGAATTTGAGAGACAATGTGGTTGAAGAGGAGAAAGCAGCTTAGGCCTTGAAGTCATACAGACTTGGGTTTAAATTGAGACCCTGTCAGTTGTGAGCTAGGTTCCCTTAGGCAGATCACCTAAGCCCCTGAAATTCCTCTCATCTATAAAACAGGAGTAGTACTACCCATCCTTCAGGGTGGGTTTAAAAGTTAAACAAGATGAAATACAGAAGCATCTGGCATAGTGTGTGACAATTATGCTCTGTCTGTGGCAATTATGGATATTTATTATTACTGGTGGTGATACTACTGGAAGAGCCCAGTTGCACTAGGGAGTGGAATCTTTGCCTAGATTGTAGAGCCTAACCTAGGAAATGATCTAAAAGCAGGAGTCAGAGGCCAGGCCTAGAAGAGGTAGAGACATGGGACTCCTGGTGAAAGGCCGCAGGGTGGGCTGGCATTCCAGGAATCCACAAGGAAAATGGCCCCCAGGTCCCCTCATGTGTGAGGCCATATTGGACCAGGCACCTAAACCTAAACCACCTGCACCGGTGCCCTGTTCCAGGCCTGAGAGGAACACAGAGCCTCTGGCCAGGCTCTGCCTAGCAGGAGCTCAGTGTGGACACCACCTTGCCTCTGGGGAGACTCAGTGCAGGGCACCTGAAAAGCATGGTGAGGCAGGTAGACTCCGTGACCTCCTACTGCTCGACGAGGCCTCTGCTGAGCCAGCTCGGTGGTCCTCACCCCCACGGTCTCCTTTCCGGACCACTAGACAAGCTCTCCTGGGAACCATTTCTGCTGAAGCCATCTCCTGTGGACACAGCGTTCTCACAGATCCATCATCCCCTGTTACACCAGGAAGATCCCCCGTACCTGCCCCATCCCGCATCCTGCCCCTTGCTCCTCCACCCCCAGGAACGATGCTCAGGGGTTGGGGCTCACACCATCACCCGCTCTTCACCACTGTTATCCGTGGCCTCTTGGTTACTCACCTCACAATCATTGTTGTCGTTGTTTCTCTCCTTCTCCTCTTCATCATCTTCATCATGGCCATCACCAAACTCTTCAGTTTGCCAGCTTTCTTTGAATTCCTTCTTTCAGTTCTCACTGTGACCCTGTTAAATGGGTACTATTATGATCCCCATCTCGGGGTTTAGGAAACTGAGGCACAGTGAGGATGAGTCACTTGCTAAGATCACACATCTAGTTAAGTGGTAGAG